TGTTCAGGTCCAAGAACCATAACCTCTGTCTTATCTGAGTTTAGAAGCAGAAAATTAAGAGTCATTCAAGTTTTTATGTCATTAAGACATGCTTATACAGTAGTTTAAGTAACTGGTTGGATTCATCAGGTTTCATGGATAAATATAACTGAGTATCGTCAGTCCCACACTGTTTGATAACTTTACCTAATGAAAGCATTTATAAAGTTATTCAGTAATTAGTTTTTCATGAACATGATATAGTGTTTCAGATCTCAAACTAAAAACTTAAATGCTCTTAAACATAATCAGAATATTTAAAAACATTCTGTAGGGTGTCTGTGCAGCTACTGTCTGAAAGTCAGTTAAAATGACGTCCTTCTGTCTCCTGCAGGTGATCTGCGGCTGTTGAAGGTTCAAGTGGTTCTTCGTCGATTGAGCTACAGTCTGGACCAGCAGAACCCAGAACTCGTCCACATAAAGAAGTTACAACAGGGACTCCAGTGCAACGAGGAAGGAGAGCAGCTTCCTGTGGAGAGAGAAGATGATGAGAAACCTCAGTTATTCCAGCTTCATCAGATCAAAACTAAAAACAACAGAGAGACAGAAACTCCAACCAGCAGCTCAGCTGAGCTCATGAAGACAGAAACTGATGGAGAGGACTGTGGAGGACCAGAACCAGACAGGAACCGGAGTCCAAATACTAACTTACAGCCAAACACTGATGAGAGGGCGTCAGACTCTTCAGAGACTGAAGACAGCAATGATTATGATGAGGATGAAAACATGTCAGGTTCTGGATCTGACGATGAAGACAGTGATGAAGATTGGAGGGAAACCAGGACACCTGGATCAGAACCTCCAGCTAGCTGCTCAGCTGAGCAGATGAAAACAAAAACTGATGGCAAGGCCTGCAGAGACCCAGAACCAGACAGGACCCATGATTCAAATACTGATGAAAACACTTCAGACATTTTAAGTTCTGAAGATGATGATGATGATGATGATGATTATGAAGACAATATGTCAAGTTCTGTATCCGAAAATGAAGACAGTGATGAAGATTGGAGTGAAACCAGCACATTTGGATCAGGAGTAAAAAGTAACTCAAGAACTAAAAGTGCAGAGAAATCCATCCGCTGCACTGAATGTTGTCAACAGTTTGTCAACAAGCAATCTCTTCAGAAACACATGACTTGTCATTCAACTGAGAGCTCTTCTGGTTTGGTTGATAAACGTTCTAAAATGGAGATAAATGTAAAATCCCAAAACGTCAACACAGGGGAGAACCAATTCGATTGTGTTGAATGTGGTAAAAAAATTAAAAATCAGGCTACCCTCAAGAAGCACATGAGAGTCCACACCGGAGAGAAACCATTTTCTTGCGATCAGTGCAACAAAGCGTTTAGTCACATGAATAGTTTCAAAGCTCACATGATGGGTCACTCAGGAGAGCAACAGTTTCCGTGTGAGGTGTGTGATAAGAGATTTAGGAGCGATTTTGCTCTGAAGCAACATATGCAAATCCATAAAGGAAAAAAACCGTTGGCGTGCAGTAAATGCGACAGACGTTTCAGACTTCGGGGGGATCTCGACAGACACATGATGAGCCATACAGGAGTGAAACCGTTTGTCTGCTGTGAATGTGGTGCGCGGTTTTCTAGAGAGGGAACTCTGAGGCTTCACGCTAAACTCCACACAGGAGATAAAACCTTCGTCTGTGAAAAATGTGACAAACGATATACCCGGAAGTCACATTTTAGGAGACACATGCTGTTTCACACCAAGAAAGGTTCTACAAAAGAAACCCCCTTTGCTTGCAAATATTGTAAGGAAGTGTTTGACAAGAGTGAGCTTTTAACAGCACATCTGACYGTCCACCAAGAACAGAGGCCATTTGCCTGCGATAAATGCAACGATATGTTTAGCCGAAGCTTTCAGCTCAAAAGACACATGAAAGTTCACTTAAAAGATGAGGAGAAAGTTAAAGACAAACCTTTTATTTGTAAAGACTGTGGAAAAGCATTTGCAGTGAAGGCACATATTACAGCACACATGAGCATTCACACAGGAGTAAAACCCTTTAGCTGCCATGTTTGTGGTTCAGGTTTTACACGAAAAGAGTCTCTGAAGTCACACATCTCAAATCTCCACAAAAAGTAGGAAAATGTGCAGTTATTTTGGGATTTATTCACAAAAAATGTGTTTTGTGTGGAATTATTTTGAGAAGGGCTGGTTTATTTCACCTCAATAAGGAAGAGAGTTATTAGTCAGCTTTAAGAGTAAGTTTTATTTTAATTTTTTTACAAACCACCACCACTGTGCTGACAGTTTATGTTATTTGCTGCTGTGCATTATGGGTAAGCATCTCTATTTTGTTTTAAAATTTCTGTTAAGGGCTTAAAATATCAAGTCTTTATAAAATAATTTACATTAAGTCTAACTTTCTTTGATAAGGTTTTGAACTGTTAATTTCTCTCGCACCACGTTTGATCAGATTAAAAATTTCCATGATCATATTTAGTGCATTGGACTTTGATCCTAAGTCTAAAATCCCATGTAAGAAGCTGTAAGACATCTCTAGCAGCTTTAAAAGAGGAATGCCTTACAGCTTCTTAGTGGGATTTTAAGGTCTAAAACTATTTAAATGTAACCTTGAATGATGAGCATAAACTGAGCCAAGATTATGCTCCAATGACTTGTTTTTGTTTACGCTTTCCTTGATTTTTATTTTTTGTTTTGTCTGAAACAACTCAAAACAGTAACTAATTGATACACGATGTAATTTTTTAATAGTTCATCTCCATGTATTCTTGCACAAATCTGTATATTACACTGCAGTTTACACAGGCATTTTTGCCATGTGAATAATGTTCACCATCAGCGTAAGTGCAAACAAGATTTAATGTGAAATTTTTGTATTTTTTATTCTGCCTTTACTTTTTTATTAAAGCTAAAAAACTGACCACACTTTCTTCTGTGATTACTGAGCCGTTCAATTCTGACACTGTCATATGTTAATATGATGTTAAAATGTCTTAATTCTTCATCAGACTCAATAAACTTTAATTTTGTTTCACTTGTGACAAAGATATTATGAAATCAGATCAATTTTCTGATTTCTCCAGTCTCAGTGTAAAAGTATAAGATCAGTACGATGAACAGTTATTTAAAGGCATTTATTAGACATTKGGGTTTAAATATTGCATTCACAATAAATTGTCATTTTCCCAGAGTTGTAAAGTAACTAAGTACAAATACTTTGTTACTGTACTTGAGTAGAATTTTTGGGTATCTGTACTTTACTTGAGTAATTGTTTTTCAGCCTACTTTTTACTTCTTACATTTTCACACAATTATCTGTACTTTATACTCCTTAGATTTTTTTAAGAGGCAAGAAGTAGAAAGTTGTTACTTTTATTTCATTTTTGCTTGTTTTCATTCCAGCTTGTTATAAAAAATAAATACTATTCATATAAAT